TTGCTGCTTTCATTTCAGAGGTAGGGAAACTGAGACCCTACGAAGGACCTGATGTGCCGTGAGTAACACAGAATGTCGCCTTTGCTGCTACTCAGCCTTGGATAAGCAGGTGCTCGCCAGCACACCCCCCGTGAGTGGCATGGTGTCACCCGGGCAACCGAGGCCCCTTGAAAGGACGAGGGATGTTAGAGAGCAAAGCCAGAGCCCAGGTCACGAAGCCCCAGCATCCGGGGGCGCGTACCGCAGAGAAGCAGCCCGAGGCCATGTGCTCATGATGTCTCCGAGCTCCCGCCCCAGGGAGCTCCCAGCAACCCTTCCAGACAGGAGCCTCCACGTGTCGGGGCTCCCACGCAGCTGTGGGACCAGGCACCTTCCACACAGCCCTGCCCTTCATGGCCCACCATCCGTCACTGTGGGCTTTGGCACCTGTCCCCGCCTCCCACCGCCAGCATCCCCAGGCAAGGCGGCTGAGCAGAGCTGGGGGGTCTTGTTACTGTGACCCACCCGAGCCCCCTGGCCTAATTTGGGGCAAGAAACCCCTCCATCCCTTCCTAGTTCCAAAACACAGAAAAGGTGTAGGTTCCAAATCCCAAAGCTGCCGTGTCCAAATGCCGGGAGAAGACCCGGAGAGTGCAGCCCCCCACACCGCCGCAGAAGCATGTAGAGGCTGGGAAGAGAGAGCCAAGTGCCTCTCTTCCCAGCTCCGCGGTCAGTGACGGTGCCCCGGGAGCTTGAAATAGACCATTTAAGTGGCAATATTTCATGTTAATTTTTTCAACCAGCTACTCTATTATTCGATTATACATTATTCAGTGATCTCAAAACTGAGCTTAGAGCACTTGAGAACATAATGTTAGTCCAGCATCATCCATTCAAACGTGGGGAGGGCTCCACACAAGCTCCTGGAACCGTGTTCTGGATCCAACACCCGTGCCGCCCACACTGGGGCCACTAGCCACACGTGGCTGTGGGCTCACAAACGTGGCCCGGTGAACTGGGCTGTGCTGTCAGCGTCAAGCATGCAGACTGGACTCTGAGCCACGGGGGAGAAGGCAAGCTACCGCATCAGTGACCGGTTGTGCTGGCTTCCACACTGAGCTAATACCAATTTTCGATATACGGTGTTAAATAAAAATACATTCTTACCATTAATTGCACCTACTTCTGTTTCTGCTAGAAAGCCTACAATCACGCATGTGGCCTGCCAGACAGCATTGCCACGGCTATTAGGAAACCCAGGGAAAAAGCCACTTTTGGTGAAACAGGTAGACAGGAACCACCATGCTCGCCTGAGGGCTCAGAGTATTCCCACCGGGCACTGTGCCCCCCACAATATCTCAGATGGTCTTCCCGAAGCTGATCCTGACACCTATGGGTTACACATAGGGAAACCAAGGCACAGAGGTGGGTAACTTGCCAAAGACCATGCACTTAGGAGGTGACAGAGCCCAGGCTCCCAGGCCATGTCCGATGGGACAGGCTTTGCTGCTTCGGACACAAGACGTGGCGGCAGCAGGATGGACAGATTCTCCTGCATGGCCTAGACAGCTGCTCTAGGTGGCCCGGAAGGGGGCTTTCACTGTGGAGCGATGTCCTGCGGGCTGAGGACACTGGGGGATATTGGGGACAGTGAAGGCTCTAGACAACCCCAGTAAGAACAAGCCCTCTAAGGGTGTTCCAAAAGGTCCCCCCTGGGAGACCCACGTGACCCCACCCTCCTGGAGTCCTAGGAGGCAGGGGTGGGTCTCATTCCCCTTTACGTTTCCAGCTCCTGACCCTGAGCCGACACACAGGAAGCGCTGGCGTTTAGCTGGCCACTGAACAGATACGTGATCGACTGAAGGAAAAGTGTGCATGGTGCCACTCACACGTGGCGGTCCGTCGCCGGAGCCCCGAGAACCACACCAGCTTCCCTGCGGGGGAGCCAGCATCCGACCACCTCAAACAGCTGCTACGTGTCTGAGGTGTGGGTGACTGGCAGGGCCCTTCAGAAACACAAGGTGATCATCACTTTGGACGCCTGGCCAAGAGCCCAAGGCAAAGAATGAGTCGGCTGCGCTCGAAATGTCACTGCCTGTTCCCCACCACCGCCGGCCGTGGGACCCACACCAGTGCCCCAGCTCCAGCCTCGGAGACTCGTAGCCACCGCCCCTCCCCCAGCAGGGCCAGGTAAGCAAGGGCAGGTCCGTTTCTGTCTTGTCAATTGCCATAATGGATAAATATCAATCCCAAGCCCATGGAGACAAGATGCTAGGAAATCGTGCTTTTCAGTAAAAAGAGAAGGGAGGAAAAAAGCATGAAAAATTTATTAAACTGGAACCACTGGGACCAAAACGTGAGTTAAAGACTCAAATTCATCCCCCTTCCCTGTAATTCATGATTTATGTTGGCAATAACCACAGTCATAAGGAAGGAGGTGCGCTGTTAATGTCACGGAATAAGAGTACCGGCAAGCCCGGCCTGGCTTCCCCGTGTGAGCCCAGTCACGTCCCATGTCTGGTTCCGGGCACTGGGCACGGGGGGAATGGGCACCCCAGGGCCACTGCGGGACTCAGGGCATAGGAACACAACCCCAAACGTACACCAGCAGCCACCAGAGGGGGCAGGGACCCCCACGTGGCCGCGGAGGGGAGGCTCCCTGGCTGGTCCGAGGACGTATCTCATGCCTGGTCTGGGCTGCACGAGGCCAGCGTGACCCTGTCCTCCTGGAGCCCTTGGTCTGTGCTGACCACGGAGGGATGTTTCTGGAAGGAGCAGACCCTCAGCCTCACATTGGTGACTTAGGAGAAATGGCAGCTGAAGACCCCACTCTTGGCGCCTGATGGGGGCTCTTGGGCCCTGGGCCTTAGTTCCTTGTCTGTGAAACGGGGACCCCGCAGAGCAGACCCTACAAAGAGATGGTGGGGGGGCGCCTGGGTGGCTCAGTTGGTTAAGCGACTGCCTTCGGCTCAGGTCATGATCCCAGGGTCCCGGGATCGAGCCCCGCATCGGGCTCCCTGCTCGGCAGGAAGCCTGCTTCTCCCTCTCCCACTGCCCCTGCTTGTGTTCCCTCTCTCGCTGTGTCTCTCTCTGTCAAATAAATAAAATCTTTAAAAAAAACAAAGAGATGGTGGCGGTGTACATAAGGAGATGAAGTCTCAGCAACGCTGAGCCCTGAGAAGGCTCTAAGTACCACCCCCATCACTGTCCTGACTGCGTGGGACTTGCTGTCACACTGTGTGCGTGAGGTGCGTGCTGCTAGGGGCTGAAGGTTGGGGGGGCATGAAGAGGACACGGGGTCTGACCTCAGAACCCGCCGGTCTACAGAACACAGACATTTCACCACCTAATCATGGTGTACCCCACGGGCAGCCCAAAGGCCAAACGGGGTTGTGGGTGCCCTTCGGAGTCAGAGGGGTGGTACAAGAGGCTTCCCAAGTGGGGGATACCCAGGCCCAGGTGTGGCAGATGAGAAGGTCCTCAAGGCAAGAAATGCCAGGAAGAGAGGAAAAGAGGCACTTCCAACCTGAGCTCAGCAAGTGAGGGGATTGCCGACAGCAGCAGGGAGAAGGTGGGATGGGCTGGGCCTCCCCCTGGGGGACCTCCCTCCAGCTGTGCCTCTGAGCCTCAGTTTCCCACCCTCTTCAGGGTGGGGGGGAGCAGCCTCTCATTCAGGCCTGCACCACACGAGGCCCCTTTCTCAACAGCCAAGTCTGTCTGTGATTCCTGGGACTGGTCAGGGCAAGCAGGCCGGGTGCTCCAGGACCCGGACAGGAGTCGTGTGGACCCCGGCCCCCACGTGTCTCCTTCGGGGCACTCTCCAGACCTCACACCGGCACGGGGCCAACAGGTGCCCCAGGGCGCCCCACACATCACAGCAGGGCCAGCCCAGGCTCAGGAAGGTGGGCTGGGGCAGTTGCTCCCACTGGCCGGCGAGCTGCCTCATTCACAGACTCCCCCGGGATCGGGCAGCCAGCATGGTGCTGACATGTTGGGTTTTGGTGACTCAGAGTGTTTACATCGACAGGGATCCTGCCAAAACACTTGCCGGGTCCCACGCCCTAGAGGCAGCCCCGGATGGGAGGGTGGGCACGAAGCACAGAGCCTCAACACTGGGAGGGCGCCCAGGAAGCACCAGCTCTTACTGGGTCTTACTCCCAGTCTGTGCTGATGAAGAGGAGGGGCACGGAAAGTCTCCCCAGAAGCAGCGGCCATTTCTCTGGGGCAAAGCCACGTCTGCTGTTAAGCGGGAACGAAGGGTCCAGTCGGCAGGAGGCTGGGAAGGGCAGGGGGCCAGCCGGCTCAGGGCCCCCACGCACCAGCCCATGGCCGGGACAAGCCCATCACTGCTCGAGCCTCCTCGCCTGCGGAAATGGGGTACCCTGCCTCCTCCATCCCCCTGCGCCTCCTCAGGGAAGCTGCCCAGACCCCTTCTCTGAGCAGTAGCTGCATGGCCCCCATCCCTGGCCACCGCTGACCCCACAGAGCCGGACCACCGCCCCGGGCTTCTCGTTGGTTCCAGGACTGTGAGGCGAAACAGCCGGGAGGGTGACCAGGCCTGGGCCGCGTGAGGATGGAATAAGGGGGTTCTCAGAGACAGAGCGATGTGAGTCTGGGTGGGGTCATAGAGAAGGAGGGAGATGCCCCCGTGGCCTCAGGTGGCCTGGTCTCGGGCCCTCACCCACCCCTGTTGGGCCACGAGACGCCCCTGAACCCACAAACTGCCTCTGCTTGTAGCCTGAGCCCCAGAGGCCCCTGTTTCTGGAAACACCAGCTCTCCCCACCCACAGCAGGAGCTGGGGAACTTTCCAGAACACGGAAGGAGGCGTGAAGTGAAGAATGGCTTGTCCGCCTGAGCTCCCATGAAGCTGGGGGCACCCGTGACACCACCAACCGCGTGGAGAGGCCCCGGGTGGGACGGAAGGGAGGCTCTGCCCGGAGAGTGGGGCCGCGACTCCCAACCCCGTCCCCAACCCCGTCCCCAACCCCGTCCCCAAGACCCGGTCCCGCCAGCTCCTTACTCCGCCAGTTCCTCCAGGCTGCGGTACACATCGTCGTCATTCTCGGTGGTCTCCTCCGAGGGAAAGGGCCTGTGGAGAGAGGGGAGGGGAGTGAGCAGGTCTCCTCGGCCCGGCCGGGCGCCCAGCCCCAGTACCCCCCGACGGCCCTGCAAGGGCAGGCTCTGTCTGCTCTTGCAGAAGGAAGCAGGTCCGCACGACAGCGGCTTGTGCGTCAGAACCAGCAGGTGGAGGAGTCCAGGGTGAGGAGAGCGCAGCTTGACGCTGGGACACGGAAGGTCACTCTCCATAGACCCCCGCGGCCCCGCTGGCAAATGAGGGAACTGGGTTCGGGACGGCAGGCAGCTTTTGCCACTGAGACACTCCTGCCTCCACACTTGAGGGGGACTCCAGAAACGGGGATGTGGGCTCCTGGGGCACCCCATGGTTAGCCACGGCCGAGAGGGCTGCCGGCTCCATCCACCTGGACGACAGGACGCAGGGGGGCATTCTGGCAGGGACAGCGGGGCTCCAGGGGCACCCCCCACCCTCCAGGCCCGAGGGCAGTGGCCAAGCACGCTATGTGGGAGGCTGCCCATCATCCGGGGCACACACCAGGGGCCTCTGAGAAGGCTACTGCCCTGCCATCCCACCCACCAGCCCACGGAGGCCTGGCTTGGGGTCAGAGCATGTCCTGAAAAGCGCTGGCGGCCTTCCCAAAGGACCTGTCTCCCCTTTGGAAAGGGAGCCACGGGGGCAAGGGGCCCCAGACGAAGCACGGCAGTCTCCTTAGTGTCCACTCGATGGCCGCACGGATGTTCCCTCCCTCCTGGGTCATCGCCACAGGTCAGCCGTCCCCTGATGCCACACCCCAGCCCCCACCACATTCCGCTGCCTCAGCCTTGTGCCCGAGGAGCAGTCCCTCCGTCTCCCCCACCATCTCCTCTCTGGGCCTTGAACCTGTGTCCACTCCCCCAACCAAACTGCTCCTGACAAGGGTGACAGTGACCTCGGCACCATTGAATCCTAAGGCTGACGTCACATGTGGTAAACACCTGCAGAAGGGCGAGGGACAGGGTTCCCGGGGAGGGGGCGGGGTGCCGCTCCGTCAGCTGGGCAGCTCAGAATGCAACAGAACGGACTCTGTTCCTTGCGTCCGAACCCCCTCACTCAGGGCCACGAGCTCCCTCGAGAATGGAACCACAAGCCCAGTCCCATTTCTGCCACAGCCAAAGACAGATGACCGCCAGTGTGGGCCAGAGCGGGAGAGGGAGAGGCGGCCAGCCGGGCTGCCGGGAGCTGGCCCCGAGAGGAGTCAGGAACACACGGGGTAGGGGCGGCCTTGTCCCCATCCACTCTGCCCCCAGTCCCCTGCCCCACCCCATTCCCCAAGACCCAGCTCCCTTCAAGATTCCATTCAACCCCACCTCACGTGGGAAGATCTGACCATGCTCTCGGCCTGGGTCCACGTCCGCCCAGCATGAAGCCTGTCACTAGAAAAGCATGGACAGATGGATGGACAGACAGATACATGGGTGAACGATGGATGGCTGTCTGGGAGGACAGGTGGGTGGGACAGTGGTTGATCTGTGCGGTGATGGACACATGAATGAGATGTGGGGTCGGGGGGTGGGGAGTGTCCAGGATTTCAGGGAGGGGTTGGGTGGGTGGGTTGGGGAACGGATGGGTGGACAGATGGATGGACGTCACACGGTCTCAGGCTTTCTTCCCCCTACCCCCCGCCAAGACAACAAAAAAATGGCAGCCCTGAATTAGATACATGAACGCATCTTTAAGAAGAGGTTCTGAGAACCCACATGGACGTATTCAAGTCATCCCTGAGTTGAGACTTTACAACACTGACCCTGGTTTAACACTGGGGACACCCGTTGGCACAGAGGGCACCGTACGGGGCTGCGTTCCCACTGTATCTTAAAGCCCGAGGGGTCACGCTGCAGCAAGGACTGGCTCCATCCTTCTGTCTCAGGCACTGCTAATCATCCAGACCCCCCACCCATGCCGCATCTACCCCCCAATCTCCCCTGCCAGGCTTCACCAGACATGCCGATGTTAACAGTGGAGTTAATCTGCTCTTTAAGGGGGGGGGGCGGGGATGAGAAGGACACACAGGACAGTGGTCTGCACAGAAATGATCGTGCGTTAAACACCAGAGTGGGTCCCCCGGGTCCCCCCAGCAGGATGGGCTCCTCCTGTCCCATCAGACCCTTCCTGAGCACGCACTTCCTTGAGTCCAGCTTCTGGGAAGCCAAGTTTCCCACTTGGACCGCCAAGGGAATGACGGGGATGCCCGGGCCGGAAGCAGAGACGCGTCAGGCAGTAGCTACTCCCCCCACCAAGCTTCCCCAGTACCCCCTCCTCCCGGAGGCAGTGAGAGAAAGGTCTGCACCACTGCTGCTGAAGGAGGCCCCCCAAATCCCACGTCCCCCCACAAGGACAATTTCAGCATCCAGTGGCTGAGGCCAGCATGGCCTAGCTGCACAGGACAATTGGGGGAACGAGGAATAACCAGCTAGAGGAAGGGGACCTGAAAACAGGGCACCCTGAGGGGGTGTCCGAGCCTAAACCCCTGAACAAAGAACAGATGAGAGCCCAACTCCTAGTTCCAAATCACTCGTGCGTTCTCCTTCACTCATTCACTGGTATTTACCGGGCACCTGCTCTGAGCTGCCCCTTTGGGTCTGCCGTTGGTCATTGCTTCAGGGAGAAGCTCTGGGATCGATAAATCAGGCTCTGGTCTTCGTCCTCAGCACTTCTTTGAGAATCTGCTAAAAAACTGTGGCTTCTGAAAAGTGCCCACATGGGCAACTGTGCTTACAGGTACACGGGGGAAGGATGCATGGCCCGGAAGGGGGCAGACCAGACGCTCTGGGGGTCCTGGAGCTAAAGGTGGTGATCTCGGGTCCATGCAGGACAGACTCCAGGAGCTCAGCTGTATGGGGAATGGTTAGGGTGTGCTTTCTTGGAAGGCCCTGAGCAGGGGGCTCCTGGGGCCGTTTCCCTGGGGGTTCCTTCACTCCAGAGCAGGAGGCCCCCAGGAGCATGGCATGTGTGTATCTCATCCCCGAGCTGTACCTGCAGATGGCCCCGCCCAGGACCCAGACTGCTGCTCCCCGCTCGAGCCCCCCACACACTGGAAATCGAGCGCTGGCCAGAAGCCAAAACAGAGGCCCCACAACCTCTGTCACCTTCATTTTAGGGGAGGCCCTGTGGGGAGAGCTAAGAACTAAGATCTGGGTTCGAATCCAGACTCACTACATGGCCCTGAACAGGGCATGCTCCCTCTCTGCCTCAGTTTCCCCAACTGTAGAATGTCAATGGTAGTCACTTGAGAATAAATGAGGTAATGCAGTGAGTCTCTAAACTCAGGTCCTTCGACCCAGCAAGTGTCCCGTAAATGACAGCATGGGTCGCCCTCCCTCCCTGCTGGGTGGCCCTCCCCAAGAGCCCACCTGCCCAGTCCAGAGCTCAGACACAGGCAGTCCTCAAGGTCCCCACGGCCTCCTGAACGACAGCTCCAGGTGCTGACTCCTGGAGCCAGCCCCCGAGGGCAGGCCCACCCCTAGGGGACACAGAGTCAGCACCCCCATGGGGGTCTCCAACCCACCCCACAGAGCTCTTTCTCCCCATGCCTCAGAAGGAAGAACATTCCCTGGAAACAAAAGTTCATACTCTGGAAAGTAAGAACACTTTGGGTGGGTATTCAAGATCACTCAGCACCATCCAGAGAATCTAGGATACAGTGTTCGTTTTCCCACGTTCTGCAGACATTCAGATGAAAGGGATCCAGGGTCTGAGATACATCCTAACTTCATCCTTCACTTCGCGTGTTCCAGAAGTAAGTTGGAATTCTGACTCACAGAATGCTCCCTGCAAGTGACCTCTGAGGTCCATGTTCAAGGGCAGGGTCATGGATGGCTCAGGTCCACCTTGGCCGCCTGGTGTGTCCGAGAGATGGGTGGGGACCAGTGCCCTGGGTTCCCGTCCTGGAGGGTGAGATGGGCCCAAGGCCCCCAGAGAGCAGACTGGGCCCCAGAGGCCTGGGGTCCCTAGCACTCAGCACTGCCCTGCAAGGGATGAGGCCGTCTGGTCTGCCTGGGACTAGGGAGTCTCCTGGAACGTGGGAACTTCAGTGCTGGCCACCTAGTCCTGCAGGTGGGGGACAATAGCACTGGAGGGCTCCTGGGGCAGCTCGTTTCTCTGGCCGGACCTCAGTTTCCCATTCTGAAACTGGCCTCAGGATGAGGTGCAGTGGGGCTGTGAGAGGGCCCGGCACCAGGACACCAGCAGGGTCAGTCTCATCTCCCTACGTGTGGCCAGGTGTGCCCAGGTGTGCCCAGGGGCGGGTGAGAAGGAAGCGGTCAGCATGGGGAGGGGGGGCAACACCCCAGTTGGCACCAGTCTACAAGGGAACCGGCAGCCGGGCAAACTTGAAAGGCACATCAAGAACAGTGGCCTGGAGGACCCAACAGGCCCGATTAATTATTGAGAGAGTCACCTGGGTGCCGCCTGCTAATTGGCTGGGAGGCCTTGAAGCACCAGGGTTTCCTTATTAAAAACGGCTCTCCTGCTAAACAGCCCCAACTGTCAAAACAAGCCAACGGATCTCGTTTCTTTTCTCAGCCCGTCACCCCACCCAGTGTGGACGGGCCATCGCGTCAGGGGGCAGCGCCAGCCAGTGCACCCCACCCACGCCCGCACCCAGCTCAGGCTACACCCTGTGTTGGAGAGGAGGGCAACCCACACCCCACATGAAGTCCACACGGGGCTGAAGGGCACAGAGAGCAGGAGGAAAGGCTCAGGGCAGAAGGGCAGTCCTGGCCTGGGGAAATCAGGCGGGCTTCTCGAGAGGTGGTGGGGGAGCCGACTTGGAGAGCAGAGGCCGATGCTGAGTGCAGAGTTCCAGCCTCGTATCAGATGAGGGTTGGAATTGGCCAGTTTCCCAGCCCCAGAGCTTGCCAAAGGATCTGAGCCCCTGGCCTCAGTTAACTCGTCTATAAAATGGGGATTAACCCCCCCGCAGCACAGGCGTTTTGTGACGCTGCAGGAGATGCAACGTGGGCATGGTTCCCACA